AAAAGGATCAACACTACATTAATAAGCAGCTAGCGAATTCTAAAGTAAATGAACAAACAAGCTCACAAACAATCGCAAACATCTACATATACGCGCTGCTCGGTTATAAGTTGAATCGTTCGCAAGCCTCTGTCTTGAGGCTGCTCAACAGCCGCAAGCATTTGTAGACGGATGAAACCATCGATCGCGGAAGGCAGTCGGCACAGTTCGTCTGATGCGTGTCATGTTTGAAAGCATGACACCTCCAGCTGCTTCGGTCCGTAAAGGACACCTTCGTTTTGCGGGTGTCATTGCTAAAACTCGCCCGTCAGGTTGTTGATGCCACTGTCGGAACCCCTCTTCAAACAAAGCCAAATCCGGATCAACCTTGACGTCGCGGAACATACCCTGACTTGGCACAAGGTCAGGGGTCTACGCTGCAAAAACCCCTTAACCCAAGTGCTAGGGCTGATAAGCAGCTTCCGGATGCTTACTTGAAAGGTCGGCTCGCCGTAGGCCACCTCGAGATGAGCAGCCATTGTCGGAAATGGACTCTCTCGCTCTCTCTCTATCTCTCTCTCTCTCTCTCTCTTCTTCTTCTTCCGCTGGGCGTAGAGGGCTGTTTAGGCCCTCCGGCCGCATGGGCCCTCTCTCTCTCTCTCTCTCTCTCTCTCTCTCTCTCTCTCTCACCCTCTATCTGGGCTTCGGGACTTGCTTCTCTCAGGAAGGGAATACAACCGATCAGACTGATACTGAGTCAAAGTTCCCGTACTCTTCGCAGGTTGCGAATTGGAGAACCATAGAGCAACCAGAAGCGGGAACCCCGAAACCGCAACACGTCAAGATTAGGATGCCGAGTTCTCACAACTGGGACAATGCTACGGGGTTTCAGGGCTTGGGAGGGATGGGGCCACTGAAACATGCATGCCGTTCCTAGGTTCGCCAGTATCCCATTAATTCTTGAGTGCTGTTCCGACAATTCTCCTTTACGAAGACACACCAGCATGTGAAGTGCATAGGGGTGTTGCAAAGCCCGCATCCACCCGAAACCCTCGAAGTTGCGGAAGCTGTCGGAGGCTAGAGACAACAATTCCTTGGACTGAACCGGAAGCGGAAGCTCGTGAGACTTTTTTGGGGGTTTGGGCTTGTCGGGTATCATGGGGAACTGAAAAACTTAAAGTAAAGAATAAGCTTTTTGGTTAGATAGGGATTATATAGGGATTGTACTACCCAAAAACGGTTAAAGTTTGCACACTCGGACTATCCAGGCGAGGTATGCGGTTCGAGGTCTGAAGTGTGAAGCATCACTACATGGGAGGGTCGGAAAACGTCAATACATAGATATACATACATTTCCACACAATCACCAAGACCCTTGTCAACAATAAAACCACTACTAGAATACCACGCTGCTACTGCTACAACTACTACCACTACTACTACTACTACGACGACGACGACGACTACTACTACTACTGCCACTGCCACTGCCACTGCCACTGCCACTACCACTACCACTACCACTACCACTACCACTACTACTACTACTACTACTACTACTACTACTACTACTACTACTACTACTACTACTACGACCGACGACGACGACTACTACTACTACTACCACTACACTCCCGCTATCGCTACTGCTCCTGCTACTACTACTACTACTACCACCACCACCACCACCGCCAGCACTGCCACTACTACTACTGCTACTACCGCCAATGCCACTCCCAATGCCACCGCCACTACCTCTACCACACCACCACGGCCACTAGTGCTACAACGACCTCTACCACGACGACGACTACTACCACTACTTGTACCTCTACTCCTACTATTGCGAGTTCTCTTCTTAGGGGAGCCCTAAACCCCAAACCGCATTGCTCTTTTTAGGAAGCACTAAAATCCCAGCAGCCCACCTTGAGAGCTGCCAGCAGAGTCAAGCCGTCGCGGCTGAGCGCCTCCTGGAGTAAGGCGGCCAGGAACAGCTTATAAGGATAGATGCGGCCAAAGGGTTACGGGCTTTGTGTTAAGGGTTTAGGGTCTATTGGGATTTATCACGACGGCCTGGAGTTTAGAGTTTAGGGAATGTAGGGTGGATTTTGTGTCGCAGGCCTTCTTCACGCTTGAATGAAGGGTGCTTCGGGGTTTTTGCATGGCGGTATTCGGGGTCTCAGGTGGGGTTCAAAAAGCTATTGAAAGTTTCGGTTTCTGGTCAATGGGTTTCAATGTTTGTGGGATTCGTTATCTATTCTGCCCTCGCCTGCCTCTCTCCATTCAGCTCTGCTACCAGTAGCTGAGTTCTACCCAAGACTTGCCGCACAAGCCCTCGCACTATGAAAGCTGCCCCCTGCCCGCCGCAAGATATTTGCCACGAGACACCCCTGATAGTAAGGTTAGATGACCTGGGCCCTTAAACCCTGCACCGTGCGCTGAAGCCCGAAACAAACACGACCTGCCTGGTTCGACCCGTCGCCTCCCTGCGCGCTGGCCGCCACGGCCTCCACGACGAATACGAGGGTTTGGGCTCTCAGACTCTGGAGTTACCTAGAGTCTCCATTGTAGTTCCTTTTTTGGTTAACCAGTTCTAGGGTTAGGATCCTATAGGTAGTAAGGATTCAGAGGTTTTCCGCTTAAGCCTGCGAAGCTTGAAAGTTGACGGCTCGGGATGGCAACTGAAGGGCCCGGATCCTGAAGCAATATCTTCGTCGGCATGAACCCGACCAGGAAACGGTAGCTTCTCATAAGGTTCAGCCTAAACTTGCCCAAGACCCCACGAAGTACCGTCAGTTGGTTCTCAAGAATCTCCATGCAAGCCGATGCCAGAAAAGATCTGTTCCAACGTCGCACCCTGAGGAAGGTTCCTCTAACTCTAGAGGGTCATTGAAGGGGATTCCTCCAGTAATCACACGTCGTCTCCTAAGATCGCCTGTGCTTCCGAAAGCAGTCTGTGACCAAGAAACTTCTTCGTACAGCAGGAAACACCTACTCATTGCAGTGGGAATGCCAGAAAAAACAGCAAGATCGCTCTAAGGAGCCACATAAGGCAAGCAAAACCTACACCGACATGCCTGAACCTAAAACATCGGCGAATTACAGTTTAGAATTTCAGAATATCGGAGTCCTACCATGCTGGACAGTGTAATGACCATTCATCGGTGCCTTGAACATGCACAAAACCCCTAAAACCTGAAGCCGTGACGTCTTGACCCTGCAGGGCCAACCTCAAACACCAAATCCCACATTCGCCAATCAAGACGGCCTCGGAAAGCCTTTTTCCCAACGAAGCATCTTCGCCAGTGGCATTGTCGCCATAGCCGCGGGACGACATCGTCGGAACTATTTGTACAAGTACTGGCTTAAGGCGTGAAAGGTACGTCACTGGGGTTCATGGGAGTTTTGCAAATGTGCCTGTCGCTGTGGGGGCGGGAGTCTGACAATCACAGACGGCATTGTATATATGTATGTGTGTGTGTGTGTGCGTGTGTGTGTGTATCTGTGTGCGTGTTGGTGTCTGTCTGTCTCTGGCTGTCTGTCCTTCTACGTCGATGGTGTATTGGCCTGTGCATTGCTGCATGTATGTGCATATACATATATGTACACATGTCCATATGCATCTGATTCTGCGTTTCTGTGCATCTGTGCATCTGTGCGTCTGTGTGTCTGTCTGTGTGTCTGCGTGTCTGTCTGTCTGTCTGTCTGTCTGTCTGTCTGTGCGTCTGTGTGTCTCTGTATTATCTGTCTGTCGGTCTGTCTGTCTGTCCGTCTGTCTGTCGTCATGTGCGAGTATGAAGCAAGTTGTCAGCAGAAACGCTGCCTTTGGGTCCAATACTTAAGAGTCCTTATGCGAGCATTATCAACCCTGGGACCTGCAAGTCTATACCCGAAGCCGAAAACCCTGAGCCAACTCACGTCGTGTAAACGAATGCTCGTCGGCCCTGCAGTCACCCAGCCGTGGACTCCGTAGCAAAGGGCTCCCACAGGTTCGACCTTGCAAGGATTGGGAATTACGCTGCGCCAGCATTCCGAACAGTGCCAAGTAAAGATGCCTTCACACTAGCGTTTCGCTCTGCGCTTTAGTCGTGTTTGAGGCTGAGGGGGTTCCGGATTGACAGGCCAAAAGGGGCCCAGGAGTGCAGTGGTTGGACAAATGCATGCGCGACTGCACATACTCGTACGTTGGTAGCAGTTCTGTTAAGCTGGGCTCTCGCATGAAGCTTCGGATTGAAGGCCGAGCTCACTCATATATGAACAGAAGCCTCTATGACTAAAGACTTCCATGCATAGTTAATTACCCCAGCCGCCGGTTCTAGCTATCCCGGCCACTACATCGGCGATACGATAGACTTGAAAGATGCAATCAACTTGAGAGCAGCTCAGCTTGAGAGAATTATCCTGCACTCGCGCATACTTTTGTCGATTTTTCCTCGGGCCAGGCAGAAAGCCGTACCATCCAACGTTGGGGGGCGGCAAGCCATCATTCTTCGGGCGTCTGTCCCCGACCGTGGGGCAACGCGATGATCCAAGGCAGGGAATATCCCGCGAAACCGCGCGGAGAGCGACATTGCTCCACGATGTATTGCATCTTCTCAGCAGTCAAAGTTGGGCCCTGCTTCAACAAGAAGCCGGATCCGTCCGTGCAGACTTTGAGAGCTCTGGCTCTGGTAAATAGTCTTCTGGACAAATGGGTGAGCAGAAACAAACTAAATCAATGTGTCTGCCGATATTCCGAGTCGATGTAGCGCGTGTGTCCTTGCGTCCTCCAACTTTCTCGCCGGCTCGATGAACAGAGTTCCGACCTGGGCGGCCCGGCGGCCCAAAGCGCAGAGTGTTGGGACACGCTTGTTCGGATGCGTGTGTCAAACAAACAACAGAACACAAGCACGGGGTTTAGGGGTATTGAATATGGTTTGTCTCTTGGGGGGAGGACCGGCACAGTAGCTGCGACGAGGGGCATGTCCAGTTCAGCAGCATGTTCCCAGCTTCGGCGCCGGGTGCGCGCCTGGCCACTCCTTTCATTGCGGCCTGCCAGATCATCGCTTACAATACTGGCTGGGCCCAACGCACCACAGTTTCAGCACTCACACTCGGACATGCCTGGGCGAGGATCCTGGTACGCGGCGAACAGCACATTGGCTGAAGGAGAACCCCACGTTAAAAGGACTCTCAAGCATTAACGACTAGGCGCTAGCATCAACGCTAGCAATGTCTCCATGGGCTCATTCAGGGCTGGCCTTCCAAATACACTCGAGAAGTACGCACCACAGTTTCGGGTTTGGGGCATCGGCGCTTCTTATGCTCGGAATTTCGCTGTTTTGCATTGGGCGAACCTTGATTGAAACCCTTTAAGACCCCCCAAAATTTCCGGAACACTGCAAGCGTCAAGGCTCCCAAAGCGCGCGGCATCACGCGGCCCTCTGAACCCTATAGGCCCTATAAGCCCAAGCCTGAAATTGCTCAGCCCCGCATCAATGACCCCCAAAACTTTCGAAGCCCAAGTCATCATGATCTCTAAGATCCCGTTCAACCCAACGAGCTCCTAGTTTGCCCTAAGCTACCCATATAGGCCCCCATAGTAGTTCCTCTTTGGGGCTCATATTTAGAATTCTCTTAGGTCATCCCCCCTAAACCCTAGACCCCCTACTATGGGGCCTATGGCTACGGAGGAACTCAGAGCTGGAGACGAAAACGTAAGTCCTAATGGGAGTTTCCGAAAATAGAGGACCCTAAGAAAGTACCCTAAATAGTAGGATCCTTATTACGAGGACCCCAAAATAGGGTACCACTCCCTAATCAAGGAATTTGAACCATAAAAATGGACGGCCCCTGCTGAAGGACCTCCAAAAAACTCCATGATGTAGGGGCCGTGAATGTTAGCGTGGGGTTTTGGGGTATGTAGTTAAGCCATGAATACATGGGGGCTAGGAGCGGATAGTCCTGGCGACTCTTTCAAAGCATTTGGTAAACCCAAGAATTCTTCCGAGAAGAGCCGAAGCCTTCCAAGAAGCCAGGAGCGGGACTGACAGAGCCCGAGCACCAGCGCCGCTGGCCCGGGTTGGCCCCCGAGTTCACAGGTCTGCGGATAGTGTGTTTAATGATCCAGGGCTCACTAGGTTTGCTGGGTTTGGGGCTTGAAGATGGTAAGGTTTAGTATAAAAGCCTAAATAGTTACCGATATTATTCCTTAGGGTTCCTTACTTTAGCGTTTCGATTCAATGGTTTTGAGGGCGCTTCTATTGGTCTTGAACGGTTCGGGGGAAAGCCTGGAGTCTTGCCGGGACGGACTTGAGGGCATGCAGGTTTCAGTACTGAGTGGGTTTCGGGATGAAGGGTTCCATCATGTGGAAGAAATCTGTGGCACAACCTGAACATCACCATATGCACAAACTTCGGCAACCAGCTCTATGGCTCTATATGTATGACAAACTTCGAAGGTTCCGCATTGCTGTATGCCTGGATGCTCTTCTCAGATCCCACAAAAGATCCCGGAGGCATGAACCCGAAACCTTCAACCCTGCAGCAGACCCCCAACGCGCCCGACACAAGAGAATCTGACAACCAAAGAGGGTCAGCCGCCAAGACATCAAGAAACTCGCCGCCCTACCCAGAGACTCCAATATCTCTTAATTTTGGAATAAACCCTAAATCATGGTAGGGACCATACTATAATTTGAGGTATATTCCAGAACTAAGGGATATTGGAGTCTCTGGGTACACCACCGCTGCCCCCAGGAACAGGCTCCCATCAGACCCCCACCCCTGAACCCTTAAACCCAGAAGCCCAACACCGTGAAGCAAAATGCCTAAGGAATGGCCCAAAGAACATGTGACGGATCTCCCTGATGTCCTTCTCAAGATAGAGCAAAGTCTCAAAGGGACCGCGTTTTTTTCTGTGCCCTCCTCCCCTGCACGCTGCCTGCACAGCCGCCTCATAGCTGACTGCATCTGCCTCTACCTTGGCCTCCTGGCTTTACTGGGACTTTGAGGGACATTTTCCTATGCGAGCCGAGTAATGCAGAGGCCTTAATAATTAGAATCGGGTTTTGGAGCCCATTATACTTTGTTTCTAAGAGGGAATATTGGTACCTATTTAGGCCCCCATAGTAGTGGAGGTTCCGGCGACTGTTGCACCCGACTGGGTAGGGGCTTAGTGAAGTTTCAGGCCTCGGGTTGTTCACTGTTAATGTAGGAACCTGATTAACCCTGGGCCTCGAAGCCCCAAATAGCAGGGTTCATAAAAGGAAGGATCGTAAAAAGGCCCAAGGTTTCTTAATCAGGTTCCTACATTAGGGCGTCTTTCAGGACTTCTGGCTCAGACTTCTGGGGAAAGGCCTGGAGGATGTCTTGGTCGGGCAACATGTGTGGCCACTTGCTCGGGACTTCCTTTGTGGTAGCGGAAGGGGCAGCATTGCGTCTTCCTTGATTAGGGCCCGTTTCGAAACCTACACAAACCGTAGATGCTCAGAGCTGTACAGACCAGGTCATGTCAAAACCCGCGCAACGTTTGCCTGTGCCAACTTTCGAAGAAAAAAGCCTAACCTAGCTACTGTGGCGATTCGCTGCAGCAAAAGCGTGAAGTCAAGCCGTAAAGGTTCCAGGATTCCAGGATGCGACAAGTGCTTTGGTTTGCCGCGAAAGTCGTCGATCTTTGTCGTCTTGTCCACGTATCCTCTCTTTCTCCTCGAGCCTACTTAGTCTAATCCTTGTCCTTTCCCCTTCTCAAGCAGACTCCAAAACATCCCCAAGGTCTCAAGCTCAAGGCACGATCCCTCTCGCGCAGTCCCTCAGCCAGCAGCTAGCCCACCTCCATCTCTGCCAAAAGCTGAAGAGATCCCTTCCATCTCCTTGGAATAGCTTCTATTCACATCCCTCTACAACGGCGGGAAGACTCTAAATTGAGGGTCCTTTGAAGTATCTTTCGAATAGTCACATAGTCGCTATATGTAGATTCAAGACCAAAGGCTTGATGATTTAGAACCTAGAATACTAATTAATGTTGGGTCTCGGCGATGGCGTCTGGACTCGAGACGATTGCGGTTTTCTGAGTGCCAGCGGGTTGTGTGTATGTCTCAATGTTCCAGACGCTGTCTAGGGCCTTCGTGTTATGGGCTTCTGCTTTTTGGCGAATCTGAGCCAAGCACTGGTCACTAGCGATGGCTCAGCATCTCACGTCCCCAGCCCAACAGAAGAAAAAATATTCAAGAACCCGTACTAAAGGATGTAATCAGCTATTTCGGTTCTGGTTCGACAAGAAAGCCAACACCAGGGGGATTCCCAAAGGCGTAACGTCAAGTCAACGCCGTCAAGTTCGTCAAGGCCCGAAACTTCTGCAGCAAAGCCCTCGAAGCCTAGTATGCTACGGCATCGATCCCGGCGAGGGCTTTCAGAACCGATCACTTCAGAATCCTGAAGTCCTCCGGGAGGATATCTCGGTCATTCACTCATCAAAAGTCTCTTTTGGCCCGAGTCTGCAGCTTGGTCTTAAAGTCTGTACAAGACCGCTACCTTAGGCCCACCCGGCTGCGCACAAGAGCACGAGCTTCAGAAAGCTGGCTTTGCCACAACGCAGCGGGTAAAGCTGACCCGCGGCCGCAACCGCACCAACGGGCTCAGGAACGATAAATCCGCACAGTGGAGGAAGCTTCGTTGCGGCACATTGGACACAACCTCCTTGGCTATCGGGCAACATAGGTCTCGCATCAACGAACTCGAAAACTCGACATGAAGTTGCCAAACCCGACCCAGGCATTTGTAAGTTGCATCAATGGCATCCGTGCGGCTGGCCCATGACATCGGCTACGCAGTTTTGACAAAGGCATAAGTGGCCACCTAAGTCACATGAAGTGCAAAGACAGGAACAAAAATGCAGATAGCCGCAAGCATGTATCTTCATGGACATGTGCTATGGCTGCCGGGTCTTCAGCACCAGTCTCTCCCAGGATGCGCGGGCTTGATCACGTGTAACCGTTGTAATATCTACAGTTACATCAAACTGCGCGGCTCGACATTTAGCGCGTCGCAGCAGATGCTATCTATTGTCCAGCTGGCTCTCCCGCTTGACATCACAACACCTACTGCAAAGTGTAGTATTTCTGCTCGTCTACACCCCATTGTCTTCAGTTTGCGCCTTGTCTTTCTCGTCCCTGGTCCTCATCGTTTGCAGCGGTGGCGGTGGTGATGCTGATGCTGGCAGTTGTGCTGGTGGTGGGAGTGGTGGGGGTGGTGGAGAAACCCTAAACCACTAAACCCTAAACCATAAATTGTTGTCCTGATGCCACTGCTGACGGGAGCTGCCACTGCAGCTGCTGTCAGCGTGACTGCTCGCGTCATGGTTTGTCGAAGTCGAAGTGTGACACAATGTTGCTGTACTTGTACGTGCCACTTCCGTGCCCCCGACTGAACACCCACTCCCAGATCTTAGAAAGTAGTGATGCCACGAGAACTTGTATGCAGTCTTATAGTGCGAAGCTTTGTCTTGCTCGCTCGCTCTCGCTTTTTTTTTCTCTCTCTCTCACTCTCTCTCTCTCTCTCTCTCTCTCTCTCTCTCTCTCTCTCTCTCTCTCTCTCTCTCTCTCTCTCTCTCTCTCTCTCTCTCTCTCTCTCTCTCTCTATGTACATGTACACACACACACACACACAACTCAACTGGGAGCAGGACATGGCACAACCGCCGTATCAGCGCGTCGCTCCAGGCACACCTTGATGATTCGACTGGAAGCTGAATTCCAGAACTCAGGATTGGTAACAGGGCCCAAGATTCGACGCACGTACCATCGTCTTGGTCGGATCTTTCCTGGCCGTCTTGGCTGATGACCTGCTGACTGATGGCCGCTGGAAGGACAAGCCTTCAAATGTCAGAAAGAGGCCGTAGCACACGTCGGACCCTGATGCCTGCGAGGGGGCAGGAGTTTGCGCAGCTTGGTGCGGAGGTTCTCGAGGTGGTGCCTTCCAAGGCGGAACATATGCAGAACGAAACATGTCTGCTTGTTGCACAACTGATGCCTGAGCCGGAGCAGGGGAGTGTGAGGCTTGGTGCCGAGGCTCTGGAGGCGGTGGTGCCTTCGATGGTCGTATAGAGGCGATTGAACATCTGCCATCACTGTCACTGTTGTGCATCGAAGCGGCAACTGCAGGTTCTTCTTCCCCTTCGTCAGCAGGGGGTGCGGATGGGATTGGCAGCTCCTCGCACATGGAGACATAAGCTGGTCACATTTCAAAGTGGACTCGCTCGTCGCTCTTACCTCCTCCTGTGGCCCGCTCAATTCCAAGAGCATTCGGTCGTAACTCTCTTTGAGGATCAAAGTCCTTCCATCCCACACGATGTTATCGCATCTACGGCCATGTAGAGAAATCGTTCATGTCCCTTGCCTGGGACAACGCTGGGAAAACGCCACGGCACTCCGAGCTTGTGCACACTCCAAAGACGTCGCGAACCTGGCCAGGTTCGAGTTGCGGATTAAGTTCAGTTTTTTACGACTGTAAGGCTCGAGCAAAGGCGCTAAATCACGTGCTGCAAGACCGGCCCCTGTCGCGCCTCAAATCCCAAGTCGCCTCCTTGGCATGGTCCTGGGGCAGATCGACCACACTGCAGAGACATACCCGAGCCCAAGACGGCAAAGGCCTCGACTCTCACTGAGAAGCCGTGGTTCCGCGAAGATGTGAGGCCAAGACCTGCCACTCCCGGTATGCATCAGGTGTGAATCGTATGAATCAAAGGCCGGCGCACAAAAGAAGGCTACCAAATAATGAATGGCAAGAACAGTCAGCCTGTCCGCTAAGCTTGCGAGTCAACGATAAACAGACGAAGCCAATGTGTCCATCATAGCCTGCATAGAGGCCGATAATAAACCCGATTTGCATGCGTCCGCACATACATGCATGCCTGCATGAGTATGTACATGTAGGCGTGTCCATTCCAAGGGCGGAGGTCTATGTGCCATCAGATTTTTGTGCATATCCTCTGCCAACACCCTCAGTGTTCTTCACAGGTCTACATTCTACATAAGAGCGACTTGTCGATTGTCCCACAGTTGCAGCTGCATGTTGCAGGTACCAATATCCGGGCATGAACCGTTGCTTTTGTGCATCATCGTGCATCGCAAACGTTGAGTTGCCTAAGGCCTACCCATAGGCGCCATAGTAGTTGCTTTTGGGGGCTCACAAATAGAAATTCTCTTAGGTAATCCCAAAACGAAATTACTATGGGGTCTATATAGTAAGGCTGACTATCCCCGACACTGCGGGTGACTGGCGGCTGGGCGGTCCAGCCTCCCAACTTTTGTCGGAGCCAGCCTGACCATGAGCCCTAAACCCCTAAAACCCTAAACCGTAAACCCAAAGCTAGGGACCTTTCTGGAGAGGTTTGTGTGCTCTAGGCTCTAAAGGTGAGCAGTGGGCTGCAGATTTTGTTGTGATGTGAGGTTCGTCTGTTTTAGGCTTACAGTAAAGGGTCTATATCAAGGTGTGAGTATTTGGCGGTTGATGCAGTCGGGTGTAGAGCCTTTAGGGTGAGGGTTTGTGCGGCTACAGCGTTCTCAACGTCTTGGCTTAGTCATTCTTAGTCCATCAGGCAGGTGCCCTCCGGCCGGAATGAGATACGAAGTTCTTACCCCTCCGCCGCCGAACACTTAAACCTGTGAGCTGCAAGGCCGGGACAACCCTCAAAACCCAGAGATTGGAAGGTTACTTTTGGTTTTCAAGCTTGAAGGGTTGGGGGCTCTCGGGCGATGCCTGCAGGCTGCGCCGTGGGGTCCTCCAGCGACTTCACGTGGATGCAGCGCACATCTTGCGGCAACGGGAGCACTGCCATAGGCCGGGCGTCCGGCACACCCTGGCTTCCATGTTGTTTCAGGGTTCAGGCTTGCGGGGTTTCAGGTGTTGAAAATTTGGGCTCCTGCGCCTGAGATCCACCTTTTTGTGATTTCGGTTCACGGTTCGGGCCACAAGGTCCTAATTACACTTATACAAACAGGGCTTCAGTGGCTTCTGGTCGCCTACAGATGCTTTCTGCGGGCTACCTGTGTGTAGTCATAGAGTGCCAGCTGCAGCGACGCGGGCACCGACAGCATTCGGCCACAATGACAGCCTCAGTCAGTAATCTAAGGGCCGTATGATGAGAACGGGGTAGTATACGTACCCTATTAAGCCCTAGGGAGCAGTATAGTATACTTAATTATCCTAATAACCCTAGGGAGTAGTATTGGCAAGCATTTAAGCCCCTACCTTTCAGCTGTATGTGGGGGTTTGGGGATGCCGTCGTCCGAATCGGAAAGCTCCCCGAGCAGGTCCAAGAATTAGGCTTTTGTATCATTCTAACATTTTTATTCAATACTATACTATATTATAATATACTAGACTATACTGCATGGGTATATGCTATACTGCTATGTTAGGCTATGTTATAATAAGGAGCACATCTGGCAGACTGCTGAAATCACGACAACCTCATTGCAAACACGCCACAAGGAAAGCTCTCAACGAAGTCGGGAATTGCATTGGTCTTGTAGCAGTGCGGACACTGATGGGCAGCATCAGGTCCCACGAGATTGTCCCGCATCAAATTCTGCGCCTTTTTGAAAACGTTGTGCACGTTGCCCCTGTCGGACAGCACTCACAGTCGGATTATTGTTCGTGTACACTTTCTGGATGAGTAGCATTCTACCGTTGGCGATGATCATAGCATAGACATGTTGCATGATGCATGTACATGCATCTTTTCGAAGACACTGTCAGCCCATCAGCCCAGCATTTCCTTGCGAAGAACATAACCCAACGTGTCGAAAGTGATAGGTGCTACTGACTTGGCAAAACCAAAGCATTCAAGGTTTGTGTAATCCCTACCTGTGGCCCGCAGCCGCAAAATAATTAACATGTTATTACCTATTCAAGAGCTCCAGCCCTTAAAGTCGTGGTTATAGGCACTTCAAGAAAAGCTCAGGCCATAAAAGCCCTACCACCCCAGGCTCTGAAACTGGAGAACAACGCACTCTGAAGCCCGACCGCAAAACTGCTTTTCTTCGAAATAGTCATCTCTCTTCTGGGTATGTGTGTGTTCGCTCATGCATACAAACATCTTACCATCCACAGAAACAGACACACGAATAAATACTTCTACATATATATATATATATATACATGTATGAATGAACCGTATGCATGCATGCATGTATAGATATCTGTATGTATGTTTGTATGTATGTATGTGTGTTTGTATGAGATATTCGCCAATCCCTATCCCATCACAGCTCATAACCCCGATTGGAAAGGAGGGCTTTCATCTCCATCGTTTGTATAATAAACCCCACAGCTAGTCCCCTAGACCCTTAAGTCCTTTCTTTGCTACTGGTCTCAAGTCTAGCCATAATCCCTAACCCCCTCCGAAATCCGGACCCTCGGCCAATCCGTGGCCTGGCAAAGAAGCTGGGGCCAGTGTTGTGTCTGCGGTCACGCAAAACCTGGCACATTGGATTCTGGGAGAGCATGTGGCTGTTCAAAAAGTCCTAGTAAGGGGTGGACAAGGACAGGGGTTTAAGTTTCAGCTTGCGGCACGGAGGAGTTAGGGCTCGGAATTGCGTGAGAGAGAGAGAGAGAGAGAGAGAGAGAGAGAGAGAGAGAGAGGTGAAAAGATGAGTAGAGCTGGGAGCTTCGGCAGACCCGAAAGGCTCAAGACGTCTTAGTCGCTGCCTTTCGCGTTTCGAGCAAGCCTCTCCAATGCAGTCAGCTCACAACGAGCCACTTGGGCGACCATGAAGGGATGACAAGCATCTTTGGCTGAAAAGCATCCTTGGTTGGGTTTCGGCTTTGCAGGCTATCTGTCCTTCTGCTGCGGAAGTAGATGCTTCGGACTATCTGGGGATCTTGTAACCCAAAAGGTGAGGCATGACTTGTTCAAAGACCGAGCATCCACAGGGCCTTGCCACAAGGCTGAGGCCCCTTCAAGGGCACGGACAGATCCCACGCAGCTCACATCCCGGGCGATGTCCAATGGTGTCCTCCTGTCTATATATATATATATATATATATATCTATATATATATATATATACCACTAACAGCCTAAACGGCCTCGACCCGATGTGGAGTCGGAGAGACCCAGAGAATGACAACTGCCGAAACGACTTTGCTCCCTGCCCCCTCCCCGGTCCCCAGCTCAGTGGCGCAAAAGGGGTCTGCGCGACGCCCCAGTAGTTCTTGGACCTTGGACCAGGAAGACTTGGGATTCACCCTGGCGCCAGTCCCGCTCGCGTGGAATGGTGGGCTAAGGCACCCACCAGCCGAGCGTTCGGGGTGAGGGCGGCGAAATGCAGTGGAGTCCGCTGCTGCGCATCTCGAACATTTACGTCTGCTGCCCGATCCATCAACAAGGAGGCAATGTCAAATCGGCTGGTCGCCACGGCCAGGTGTAGCGGTGCCATTCCACATGAAGAAGAGATCTCATTGAGAAGGGAGGCAGTGACGTCACCTAAGGTCCGTCTACAATCCGAATCCATCCCCCCATGAACCTCAAACTGTCGTATGGCCACCCGAAGTAGCTTCAACCTGAGACTCCACCCTCAAAACCCGTTGATATATAGAGATGCCTGAACAAGCTTCGTACTCTGAGGGAAGCCAGAGGGTTAATATTAGCCGAGCTCTATATCATGCCCACATCAGGCCCCTTAAAGGCTCGCATGCCTGTTAAGCCCTGACATACGTACCACCCCCCATGGAAGTCGATACATTATTCCGACGAAACCCTACATCCGATACTCTTAAGTCTAAACCCTACTTTAAAGCCTCAAGCCTACACACATACCTATAGGCCCCATAGTAGTTCCTTTTTGGGGATTACCTAGGAGAGTTCTAAACATGAGCCCCAAAAAGGAACTACTATGGCGCCTATGGGAAAGGTCTATATGGCCTAGGAGCCTTCTCTGTGGCTTTGGCCATGGTTCTGTTGCAATCGCTGAAGCAGCTCGTGGCAGGCAGCCCTGGAGAAATCAAAAGCGCGTGATTCGACTTTGGGATTTAGGGTTTTGCAGTTTGAGTTCAGGGTATGTATCTTGCAAGGCTTACACACAAACGAAAGACTGTGTCAGACTTGTTCAAACACTTCTCAAATCAATCCGAGATGCAGGTCACCTCTCTTCACTGCGTTGCAAAGGTCCTACCGTACCGGCGCGTTGCCGAGCGAGGCTGCGGACGAGAGAAGACGTCTCTACAAACGGCATCCTTTACGAGGCTCGGACGGCAACATTTCTACTTCGCCTTTGTCCGCTTAGTCAACAAAATCCTAAGGCTCAAGCTGTCAAGCGCAGGGCATTAGAGGAAGGGTCGCCGATGGATTCTGCGAGGCAGGTTCGTTCGGGGCTGCAGTGTGAAGGAACGTTAGCACACTTAGTCCGGACAAGTTGTAAGCGCTTACCCGGCTGCTTCAGGCCGCTATTTAACTAATATGGGCTTCGGGGTGTTAGTTTATAGGACTCCTCTGTTGTGAGTGTTTGGGGTAAGCTGCGGGTGCTTGAAAGTTCATCCCGGTCCTCGGATGCTTGCTTTGCAGCTGAGCTGCCCATTCTGCCCCAGGCTGGTCGGCGGAACTCTTAAGCTTCTGACTTTGATGTGGCATCGTGCCAGATTCCTATCATTACCATGAATCCGTAAACCCTCATAGGCAACAGCCCAAAGCAAAAGTCTCGACCGGACCATGCACATGCACGTGGTAAAGACGACAGTTTGTTGGATGTCGTATGTCTTGATCCGAACCAGCTTCCGGCAGCAGCTGAGATACCATCAGGTCGCTTTCAAATCCATGGCAAAATTCCGCACACCTTGTTTAACTTGTTTCACAACCTAGGGAAATCTTCAGTCACCGACCACAATTTGAGCCGGTCCCTCGCAACCTCACATGCGCACCCGGGTGTAGCACTCAATCTCACATGGGAGTTTCCGAAAATAGGGGAAAACCCTTTATAGAACCCTTATGGATCCCTTTAAGGAACCCCCTATAAATCCCTTTAAAGGAACCCTAAGGTATCCCCTAATTTTGGGAAAATCCCACAATGCATCCCTGTGGCCGGGCCGTGCGCCAGGCGCAGTGTGCTGCATTCTGGAGCATGACTTCCGACTCCATGCCTGCCCAGAGAGCCCAATACCCCCTAATTAATCAATATACCCTTAACTTATAAGCGGGTTCATATTCTGATTTAAGCTATATTCCCTAATTAAGGGGTATTGGGCTCTCTGGGTGTGGGGCGAGGCAGCTTATAGAAAATACTCGGCCGAGAGTGAGAATCCAGCACAGCAAGGCTCCCAGCAAAACAGCAGCTCTTCTGGATAATATAAAGGGGGCCGGGGCCCTGAATAATTAGAAATTGCTGCTGTAGTGGATCAACTATAGAGAAATGTAGAATCTGATATATAGGGGGATCCTATTACAAATTCCTCCGACCGCTGCATTATCAGTAATTATATCAGGCTCAAGGGTAGCCCCAAACCCTGACACCCAGGCTGGGGGGTTCTGGCCCCGCCACGCCCTGAAGGGGCGTAAGTTTGACGGAAAACCTGACCCGTTCGTAAACTTCAAGAATTATAGTATCGCTTATGGTTTCCTTTTAATTTACCTTATAGTACCCTTATAGTCTCCGTTATAGCCTTCGTTTTAGTACCCTTATAGTCATCTTATAGTACCCTTGTAGTATCCCTTCTTGTAGCCTTATACAGTACCTCGTACACTTTTATATTGGCTAAGCGATGCTTGGCTTCCGGAATCTGGGCCTGTCGTCCAGCTTGTGGCAACGAAAGCACGACAGCACGGCCGGTGACAAGCAGAGGTACATGGGGTATTGTGTGCACATATACGTATACAGACAGGATACAGATGACATGTCAAGACTTGGAAGACGCCAGCCCTTGAAGACCCGGCACCCCGGCTGAGCTGCGCAGGGTTGCCTGCAGAGTCGGACAGAGCCCGAAGGGCAAGCACGTGCTGCCATCGCTTCGCCTGCTTGAGCAGAGTCCAAAAAAGTCCTGCTTCAAGCCGAAGCACCTAAACCATCGTCAATATCTACACAGTGTATACATATATATATATATATATGTATACCTCGACGCGCTATTCATATTTGACCAGAGCTGATATTGTACATGACATTGACATGGTTTGCCAGGTTCGCTGGCGACTCTCGACAATTGCAGCCATCGGCGATATTGTCTGGTGGCGAAACAGAGTCGAGAGACCATTCTCAACAAATGTAAAGAACCCGCAGACCCAAGAGCCCTAGGTGTAAAGTCCGTATTACTCTGCAAGAGCCCAGTACGTGTCGATGAGGCGCCTTCACCAAGCCGGCTTCGAAGAGGGGGAACACAGAGACTCCAATATCCCTTAGTTAAGGAATATACCTTAAGCCATATTAGGAGTCCTACTATAAGTTAAGGGATATTCCTGAATTAAGGGATATTGGAGTCTCTGGGAACACATGAACGCGACTGACCAGAGAAGGACTTCTGGGCCCAATGGGGGGGTCTCTAATACTATATGGGTGGTTGTCAAAATTATGGTCCCAATACGGCACCTAATATTTAAGGTACCCAAAAAGGGACCCTAATTTTGACAACTACCCATACAAGTAACCCTAAGTAAGACAAGTCTGAAATGTTATTGAGGACATGTAGTCTAGCCTGTAGCAGTCAGACCGAATTCAATGCCTCCCGGCAGGCACCAGCCGCCGCAGCGAACGACACGGCGTCCCTTTGCAGGCCTGGGCATAGCAAAGGCTTCACAGTGAGACTTTGGGAAGCCAACAAGCAGAAGACGACGCAACAAAGTGGCCCAAATCCCAGGACAGGGCAAAGTCTAGGAAGGATCAGAGCCTGATAGCAATCACCTGACATGAGCAGGATCTGCACGGTGCACCACAAAACAGCCGACGAACCTGACGAGGAACCAAGCAAGCAAAAGGGAGCGGGAATCAAGCAAATTGGTTGCCGATACAGTCGTCATCGCTGTCGGGGGCTGCAAGTAACAATGGCAGTAGCCGTCGCAGCAAGGCTCATGGTCAACACGGTCGTCGCCGTAGTCGTCGTCGGCAGAGGAAGGGGCATCATCAGCAAAAGTAGCAACAGCAGGCGAACAGCTCAGAACTCAGTAGAACAGTACTGTGGTAAATGCCAAACCTATGGCTTCGATGGCCGTATAATAATGCCATACATAGAGATCACAGCCCGGCCTCCACCCTGACTGGGGTCCAACAAGGCCAGGGCGTGGAGCCAAACGCCCAGCCTCAATCGCGGTTGAGGATTTATATAGGGCTTAGGATTTTATTGTATTGTACCGTCTTGTACTGTCTTGTAATTATTGTATTGTATTGTATTGTATGCATGTGTGTATGTTGTTATCCCTCTCGCTCTTTGCATGTGTATATATATATATACAGATATGTATAATGTTATATCGGTTGGGTCTGCACTTTCGAGATTGCGCGGAATTGTAGCAAGCATTTGCCCCACAAATCAGCCGAAAGCCAGACGACCGATGAGGTGTTAGCGCGATAGGGCTTTGGATCCAAAACTCCTGTGGGAGGATGCCATGATAAAGTCCCATCATCTGGAGCTTAGCCTGCTTCTGCTCATGCAACCACGAAAGCAAACACATTCAATCCCGGAAGATACATCACACACTGCCGCAATCGTCTGGCAGGGAGCTCCGTGCATGCCATGGTTGCTGCATTGCGGGCTGAAACAATGACAGTCAGCCGCACTGCAGAGGCCTTCAGGCAGCAAAGGTGCGGCCCACCGGCGACAATCATCCATGCGGTGCACGAGCCCAAGGTGACATTTAGGATGGACATAGATTCAAATCATGTCTGAAAGATTGAAACCAAATCCGAGACGCCAATGTTGCAAGCTGCAGGCGGTTCGACCCTCACGAGCGAAATTCACCGGTGCACTGAAACCTTCAAACCCGATTCCCAACAAAGGCCAAACAGCTTCCTTCCTGCTGCTACTGCTGCCACTACTGCTACTGCTACTGCTACTGCTGCTGCTGCTACTACTACTACTACTACTACTACTACTACTAGGACCCACTAGTTCTGGAAGTACCAGCACCCCAAACAGCGGAAACATTTACAACTGCGAGCCTTGTTCATGTGCTCCAGAGCTTTGCTCCAGTTCATGGCATACTGGCAAGCACCAATGACCTAGCTTGGATTGAGATTTAAAGTATGCTTGCGGATTCCGAGTCAGCCGCTGGATCTAGAAGAGCATCGGAGCATGGTCCTGTTTTCAAACCAACCTGACCGCTATTGTAACATATTGTAACTATGGCAGGGTCCTACTTACGAATGGTTCTGGGGAAGTAGAACGTTCTGGGCGTAGAAGCAGGATCTAGCGTGATTTGTGCAGGTACGGAAACACTGGACATGCGACACATGCTGTCATTCTCAGGGTGCTCAGGCAAAAAGACCTTTGAGGTGGAATACATCGTCAATATTGGTATGGTCCCCGGGACGGACTGGGAGGGTAACCCCACATAGATGCCTTAATCATGTAGTCACGACGAAAGGATCAGCAACTAAGCTGAAACAACTTCCATGCAACAGCTCGCCAAAACTGAGAGTATCAAGCAAAGCCACGGTCGAGAAGCCAATCGGGTCCGGCTCCTTACACGGGATCTCAACTAAAGTCGTCACATGTTGGGCTTATAGGGTTTTAGGATTTGTGGCTTGGGAAAAAGGGTTTGCAAGGGTTTAGGACGTACAGGGCTCTGACCGCCAGGCCTGGACGGCTGACTGACAAGTGCTGCCGATCCTTACAGGACTTAGCGGTGCCGCTCTGTCCCTTGAAGCCGCTTTTCTATTGGCAGGTTGCTGTCATGCCCCCCAAACCATGGTAATCATTGTAATTCGTTGTATCACAGAGTTTACAGGGAGTAAAACATGACGAGAATCGACGCCAGCATTCTTCGCTTCTTCGAAGCCAGCGAAGAAGAACCTGACCAACACTGGCTAGCTTGCAGTCTCTGCTTGCATCGTTGTAGGCAAGGAAAGATGCCAAGAACAAAAACTGCATCTACGAATCTACGTCCGAGGTGCCCGTACACGGCCACGGCAAGGGGCTCAGGGTTTGAGCTTGCAGGGTAGGGCGTTACTCAAATCCAGAATATAGTCGGTGGAACGCCGTAAAACGAGCTGACAGAGGATCTAGCCCTCCTAAGCCCAGACTCTCTGCCGCGCCTCAGGGTCAGCTGCCACTGGAGACCTCGCTATGAAAGAGTATGTCAGCTCTCTTAAACATATTCCGCCCACAAGTGAACCTCGCAGCTGTCTTGGAGCCTACAGTCTTGCTCACGCTTAGGGAAAGTGGCCTTGAGTCTTGAACCGAATACTTGAAGCTGGCTTGAGGGCTGCGCAGTGCACTGGCTTACAATGCATGCTCTGAGCCCCTCCACCGGGACTGCAACCTTGAACCCCACTTACCGCAATGAGTTTTCCAAGACTCCACTGCCCTAGGATGGAGTTTATAGGCTAGCATGTGCTCATTTGAGCCAGTGAAATGGTGCTCGCAAGATATCACGACGGCTTGGGTATCTATCCCCAAGTTCTGTGCGGGAGCCGAAACTCAACATTACCCAACCGCTCACAACACTAGCATCCTGCCTGAGCTGGCCGCGCTTGCTGCAGAGTTGAACCTAAGGGGAATGGAAGTGAAGGAACAAGGGCACATGATCACGAATACTGCAGTATACTATACACATGTGTTTATGCTGCAAAAGCATGCCGTCAGTATGTGAATAATTATCACAGAATCATGGCCCACACATGTGTCTTCATGTCGTAAGCTAGTCGCAGAACTTTAAAAGATTAAATCAAAAAGCCGCTCCTGAAGCCTAAACCCTAAAACCGTAAATCCCTAACACCCAAACACACCAAAACAACCCAAATTCCTAAACCCTCAATCCGCGGCGCGTGATCGATGAGGGCGTGCCGTTGAGGCATAGCTCTGCCATGGCCGAGGCGGCCAGAGCCCATCTTCCTCCTGCTGAGTTTACTGTTGGGGGGATTTTTCAGGGCACTACTGGGTTTAGGGTTTTGGGGCAGTTCGGGTTTACAGGGTTTACGCTCTCGCAACTCGGACATTTAGGGCTTTAGCGTTGTCGGCTTACAGTCGGGTTTCATGCGGACAAAGACTGACAGCGTGTAGGACATTCTGTAGAGCGGTGAGCTTCAGGCCATCTTCGGATTCGAACAAACTCTTCATCGGTTTAGGGTTTAGGTGGCCCTCCGTTATGGCTCCATGGCATGCCGTGTGCGGTGCAATGACAGTCGCTCCTCAAAGCTTATAAGAAGCAAGGACCACTGCTCTCCTGCTTCAGCGGCCGCAATCGCTGCATTGTAGCTGATCCTCTGCTGGCTGAGGCTCAGAGCTGCCGACTGAAAGATTTTCGCAGAGAACAGGTGCTCATTGCTTTGTTATAGATCGCACGAGTTGTCGCTTCCGAATTGAGGCCTTGAGACCTTGCAAGCACGTGTCACCGCCTGAAACTGAGCCATGATCAAGTTTCGGCACCAGTATGCGCCAGTCGAAGAGATAGTAGGTTATATACTGCGGTATATAATTTATGGCTAGTAATATACGGTAGTATAGGGCTTGTAATATACTATAACATATAATGTATGGTTACAGAAATATACCATCTAGGTAACTGGAGCCCTCGGGATCCACCTCGCATTCTCTCGCAAAGAGCCCCGAGCCTGTGCCTTGGGATTCTGGAAAAAAGCCGCTACAGCGGATAGGGACAGACTTAGCCGCCCTTAAAACCGGAGTAGAAATCAGAGTCTGTTTAATGCCCTTAAGTTTGGTTATAGCAAAGATAAAACATGATTTCCGAGAGCAGTAAAGAAGAATCGCGAACCCCAGAAGCAGAGTGCTCGGAGCATCTCACGGCCTCAGTGCTCGAATTATGTTCTCATTTCTCAGATTGTTGTGCTACGCTCGTAGACCAGAACCCGATGGCACCCTAAGCAAAAAGCTCCAACCACACGCATCATCGAAGCATTCCCTTCTAGATGTTGTAGTTCATCCCCGGCCCAAACCCTCAAACCGTAAGCCCAAACACTTAACCCGAAAAGCGCCATTCACATCGGGAGCTCAAGCCAAGCATCACATCAGGCTGGAGCCGGCAATCGCGCATCTGGCAGACCTGAACCAAAGAAGTCTGCAGGGAGTGTTCTCGAGTAGGAGCTTTAGTTTTTTTCAGGTTCAGGGTCGAGTCTAGTGGAGAGAGGTCCAAGGGGGGTCTTTCTACGGTAAAGTAACAGCCGACAAGATTCTCATTGCCGAACTGCCCAAGGCAGGTGAGAAACCTGGTCTCTCTTGTAATCTGGGGATTCTGTGACAGAAGATGCCGGGCATCCGAACCGCATGAGAGTTCGACGAAAGGCTGGTCCGGAGAAAGACTACATGACATGCATGCTGAATTCGCGCAACTACATGCTGCGATCAGCCGTCTTGTGCAACAGGGCTTGTGCAAGCGGCCGCACACTCTAAATCCTAAACCCGAAGCGCCTCAGCAAGCTGATAGTCCAAACTCTGAAAAACAAAACATCTCCCTGTATTATCCCGTATTGCAGTACCCACAGAGCCCAATACCCCTTAATTAAGGAATATACCTGAAATTAGAAGGGGATTCATATTATGATTTAAGCTAGATTCCCTAATTAAGGTGTATTGCGCTCTCTGGGTAACTCTTAGAGCGGCCCTTTTACTGCAGGGACCCCCGAGTCGCCCTAATCATCTGTGCCTGGTCCAATGCCTTTGGCCAACTCAACATGGCACTGCTGGCATGGATCCTGAAACTTGCCGTTCCTTTAAAGGGATCCTTAAAGGGATCTATAGTAAGGTTCTATATTAGGAACATTAATATTTTAGACTGACCTTTGGTTAGTAGGGACTGGAAGAATGGTAGGCATAGTAGTCATAATTCCACCCCATTCCTCGATTCCCTACTAACCAAAGGTAAGGAAATAGGCTTTGAGAGTAAGCTTCAGGGCTTAGGACGTTGAACATTTGGGGTTTCCGGTTTCTTCTTCAGCTCCACCCTAGTGGCTAGTTGTGCACATTGTTGAGGGTCTGAGTTTTGACGACAGTTTAGAGTTTTCCGCTGGCGGTTTAGGATACCCAACGACAAACAGACAGACGGATAGATGCATAGATATAGATATCTATCTCGATCTGGAAGTCAGCTCGACTTCGTCTAGGCCAGGGCAGTTGCAGAAGACGGCTGTGAGCGAAAAACTTGTATGGCTTTCTCCCGGGCCTGGATAAGACATGCGTGCGAGGTGTATGCGATTGTGTGCGTATGTATGTGTAGACATATACATGTACTTATACATCTGCTATATATATATATATATACACACATACACACGTACACACACACAGGCGCACGCACGCACACACGCGCACGGATACATAAATATACATATATATATATAGAGAGAGAGAGAGAGAGAGAGAGAGAGAGAGAGAGAGAGAGAGAGAGAGAGAGAGAGAGAGAGAGAGAGAGAGAGAGAGAGAGAGAGAGAGAGAGAGAGAGACAGAGAGAGAGAGGGAGAGAGAGAGAGCGAGCGGGAGAGAGAGAGAGAGAGAGAGAGAGAGAGAGAGAGAGAGAGAGAGAGAGAGAGAGAGAGAGAGAGAGAGAAAGAGAAGGTGCAGGGCCTGAGCCCCCCTCCCTCCCTCCCTCCCTCCCACCCATACTACCCACGCCGCGCTTGAGGCAAGGGTGTACTGACAACGCGCGAGAATGAGAGACAAATACGTAGACAACTAAAGGTGTTTGCATAGGTATTTATGTACATGCATGCACCACCAAAAGGCTTTGTGCATGTTCTTGTACATCTACGCCCACATATGTATATCTGTATCTGCTGTTTATATATATATATATATATATATATATATATATATATATATACACATGTAGGTACACACACACACACACTCCTGTGTACGAGTGGAAATCATTGTAGCCTCTTGCCGTATATGTATCTGTAGACCTATCTTTTTGTCTATCCATCTATCTGTCTGCCCATCTAGCCGCGTCTCTATCTGTCTATCTATCTGCCTATCAGTCAATCCCGCTATCCATCTATCCATCCATTTATCTATCTGTCGGTCTATCTATCGATCGATAAATCTGTCTGTGCATCCATCTATCTATCCATCTACCTATCCGCCTATCTTTAAAACTAGCTGTCTGTCTAGCTAGCTATCCATCGCGCTATCTATCTGTGTTGGTACCTCCCTCTGCTTATCTGTATATTAGTTTATTAGTGTACTCATGCCTCTGACTGTGTTTAAACATAGACATAAACATGCAAGGAACTCGTGCATACAACTCGTGTGTCTCCTTGCCTATGGTGCGCCATCAAGTGAGATGAGGCGCAGAATGTTGCGGCCGATGAGGTCAAGTTCCAAGCTGATGTCGAGAAACCACGATCCTTCAAACGCAGAGTGCTCAGGGTTTTATGCTCTCATACTTGGACCAGCCAGATAATGAGTGCTAGGATGGGATGCAGGATTCAGGTTCTGTGAAATAGCTCTGAACCATGAGCTTGTAACTTGCCGCTACGAATCGCATCCTCGCCTGTGGCGAGGGCAGAGCTCCAAGTCGACGCGGCTGCGCCAGCACTGAGTGCAGCGTTTACAGCAGCCGTATCGCACTGAACCGCAAAATAGTGCCTGGGATTCAGGATGCATGCATGTGGACTGCACACATGTTTCCAGGCAGGGCAGAGGGAATGCGCGGGAAGTGCTCAGACCAGCCTTGATGACTCTGCTTCATGCCGGGACTACCTGAATTTACAAGCTCCGAGGCAAAACACTGTTTGCAAAAATGCATTAACTTGGTTGGTTGGCTGATCTGTCGGCGTGGTTTCCGGACTTGCGGAAGTGCACATTGTGCCGCCGAGGTTGATCCGAGAAACAAAATCCAAATCCAGACCGACTCAAGTTCCAAGCTACATTGTACTTCCGCAAGTGAGTAGTTTCATGACCATGCAGTGTTCCTGTCGCCCACATCTTCGAACGACCTAAAAAATCTTAACCACGAAGTGTTCCTCCAGCCCACAATCTTCGACAGACCTAAGTTTTCGGGAGTCCCTTATTACAAAACCCTCATCTGACCCCTTGGAGACACGTCGGTCGTTGTATTTACGGGTAGATCCTAGGTGCAGGTCGGCGAGCAGCGCCACGCTCCGCGACCAAGCTTTGGCGACCTTCAGTGGGACACGGTATGGGGTCCAGAACCTGATGGCCACCATGGTAAAGATTCGAGGTCAGGGGGTGCTATACCAGAGCTGGATGTGGGTAGTACATCATTAAAAACATGTGCATGTATGTCTGTATGCACGGATGTGAACAAATAGTCACTCTCGTCTAGAAACCATGTGTATATACATATACAAAACACACACACATATATATATATATAGATAGATATGTATGTATGTATGTACTATGATTACATATACACACATAAATCTACATACATATGGAAGTTAATAGCAAGCCGAATATATATGTATATATATATATGTATATGTATATATATATATAAGGCAGGTATAAGAACACGCATTCAGAATTAAGGAGTTGTCACAAGAGTCAGGGGAAAATGCCTGGGAGAGGCATGCATGCCGTTTCAATGCCTGCGAATGCCATATCCTTAGCTCGCAGATAGAATCGTTCACTGCTCTTTGCTACTCCTGCTGAGAAAGCAACCTGGCCACCCCACCTGGCCAGTCGAAAAACTCGAATCCTCAGAGCTTAAAGTAGAGAGATGATGGAGGAATGGAAGAACTGTAGAATCCAGTAGTTGAAGATCCCACGCCAGTAACCAGCGTCAAAGCATTCTATAAGCTGAGGAACCGGCAGGAATTGCGGCTGCACATGAGAAGCTGACCTGGTCTCCGTCTCAGTCCGTGTCCATTCGTTCGTTGTAGGTGACTGGAAGCGACAAGTCTGACTGAGGGCTTAGTTCATGTCACGACATGCAGAGGAAAGTGTGCGCGACCCACACTTAACCCTAAAACTCCCTAACCCCTCACCTCCCCCGCACGCTTTGTTGACAGTGGAGCCGAAACTGGACAGCCAGTATGCCTGCGCTTAACAGAAGGTGGCTACATCCCCGTCCGATCCGCGCGCCCCAACCGATTGCTTCAGTATCAGGGGTCTAGTGCTGGAAAGTACGGGACCTGAACATGCGCTCTCAAAAAGATGAGCTGATTGGGGCGGCATGGTGGCCCAAAACAGATTTTCAAGCAACAGACCCGAAGCATGCCTAAGCACATCCACAGCGGCAAGAAGTATGATCTTCAGGCAAGAATGTGCCAATACGGTATGTCCGAGTATCGCGCATATAGGCGCTTAGGATGCTTTGGAAAACGGATCTTCTGGCAGTCGGCCTGCATCTGTAGTGGTCACAACAGTGTGTTCTGCCCCCTCGGGCTGCCGTCGCTTGCTTTCCATCTCCTACATCCCAAAAGCGTTTAATTCCCCGACCTGCAATGAATATGCAAACGTAGTTCAAAGTTCTGCTGATGGCACCCATACCATAGCTCAGCGAAACGGCGGAACTTCGAGCCCTCGAGTCGAGAGGCTTCGCAAACAGCTTTCCGGTATTCGAAAGCAAGCACTTTGTAAAAAGTGCTGGGAACATCGCTTGAAATTGGGGGGGGCTTGACATCACCCCCCCAACCTCAGCATCTTTCAGGGCGTCTCATGTCTTCTGCGCTCATGAGGGGCTTGCCGGCGATCTCGTTGAGGTGCTCCACGAGGGGAACGCCCTTCTCCGCAGCGCCAGCCCTGCAGCAGGCAAGGGACACGCCTAGAATGGCATCGGCTCCCAGGTTCGTTTTCTTCTCCGTGCCATCCAAATCAAGCAGGATCTTGTCGATATTCTGCTGATCTGTCGCGTCCTTGCCGATGAGAGCAGGTGCGATCTGGAACTTCACGATGTCGATTGTCTTCGAGACACCACTCACCCTGTAGCCACCGTCACAGTCCTTGTTCTCCTGGGAGTTGGGCACTTTTGCATGGAAGACGCCGCTTTCGGTGGTGACTTCCACCTGGATGACGGGGTTACCTCGGGAGTCGAAGCTCTGACGGGCATGCACTTTCTGGATCGGCATGGCTGCAGCTGCTGGCTGATGGATTTGCCCTGGTTGCCCCTTGCTGTATAAGGCCAAAATACCGGTGAACAGATGCTGTTCTTTCAGTGGCTTGGGTTGCACCGGTCTACATGCAGGCTCACACCGCGAAGACCGTCTCGAAAGAATAACAGTTCACCACCAGTTAGGATCCATTCCCTGCAAGTGATGCAGACGGTTCAGCCCGGTACTACAACAGCTTAGCCCCATACAGTACAAGCCAGAAAGTTGGAATATGATTATCCTAAACCCTTTATGGTGAATTACAGAGTATCCTACCCTGCAACCATATTCCAACTTTCTGGAGTTCCCTTTAACATCCCATAACCAAGACCCTTAGATCTACATCTGAGAGCCCCAACCCTGTAGTCGCTTTCCTGGATCTGGGGCATTTCAAAGGTTCAGGGTTCTCGTTTAAAGCTCAGGGAACACAGTTCCGTGTACTGTATGCATGTATATATATATATATATATACACACGCACACATACATACATACATAAACTGATGCAACCGTTGGCTATTATTACTGTTGTTACTGCTGGTCCTATTACATTATGGTTACCACTTGGTTTTTTTCAACACAGAACTAGGCATGTTTTCGTTTTATTCGTACTGTGACACTGTCACATGCACTCGTAATGACTTTGCTGCTATCGCGATTTTGGTTACAGATGAATACGAAAGCAATTCTGGTTCTGACTACGATTGCTATCCTTCTCTGTAGTACAGTCGCTATAACAACTGCTATGTCTGCAATAACAACTGCTATGTCTGCAACTGCTTTCGTTGATATTCCACTTGTTACTGTTGGCAATGCTGCTGCTATTGCGATTGTGGCTCTGTTCCTGATTTTGCATTTATTCTACCACCAACCACTGTTGTCCTGATGCTTCTGTTCACTCGTCGCATGTCTGTGTTTGAGAATTCGGATATGGTGTTGGTGGTTAACAAGTTAGTATAACAAAGTACTTATGCTCAAACTGTAGTTTATTGTACTATGTTATATTATGTAATGTATTGCGGTCTGGGGTTGGAGCTGTAGGGCTCGACTTGCCTTTTGGTTCCTGGGCTGGAAGAAACCATGTCAGAGCTTCTCTGAGGTCCGTTGTGATCAAGAAAGGTCGTCGAGCAAGGGGCGGTGCGAGGTTATGTCCGGTGCAAAGGCTTGGTATATGCGGCTGTGCTCGCAAGCAATTTCGATCATTGGTGGTGGAACGACTTCGCTCTCAGGACACCGGGTTGCAAGGTAGCACTTTAGCCCGAACGTTGCAGCACAAGCCTCCAAACGACAGCTCAAGTCGAGTTGCTACTGTAGGTCTCAATCCTTCTCGCACCAGTTCCTGCAGTACAGCCGTCAGACTGGGATGCGTACACCGGAAGCTACATGCACAACAAGGGCTTGCTATGGACTACTTGGGTTGCTTTATTTGGAGAGCGGACGCAGCCTTCAGAAGCAGGCAACTTTGCTGCCAATGCAGTGTTGCGGCGGCTGCAGTCATCAGCGCGTTGTAGGCCTCTGCAAGAGGGTTTTAGGGTTCAGGGTACGTCTGCAGCTCGCTGTCTGCTTGAAACTTCAGGGCCAAATGGACAAGGTACAAGTCAATGCAGACGGCATAGACAAGCTCTGTCGGGTGCCCGGACACCAGCCAAATACTCAGATTCTTGAATTAACCATCTAGTGCCCAATTCCTTCAACGCTTCCTTCGTCACTACTATCGTGCGGGAAAGAAGATGAATTCATGTGATCAGACTCAATGACTGAAGCGGTAGGCGACGGATCGGAAGCCCGGACCTTCCAAAGCCCATGCCTGATATGCCATGTGTTTAAGCCTAGGGTCAAGGGAATAGGGTTTAGCCCCATGTACCTGGAGACGAAATGGTTGACTCATACAAGATTCACGGCATGCGAACTAGAAGCGAAACAGGAAAGATCCCGCCCTGGATGACGGCTCCAAGTCTTGATGACTCCTGGCCACGCCTTTAGAACCACAGCCCTGAATCTCAAACCCCTCAACACAACAACCCTCTCTCTCTCTCTCTCTCTCTCTCTCTCCCAGGCATCAGAAACGTCAAGCCCGGCTGTACGACAAAGATGGTCCCACGCAATACCCAAATCTTAGACCCACCACCCGAAGCATTCAACTTTAGTGGGGGTTTCCGAAAAAAGGGGACCCCAATATAATACCCTGAATAGTAGGATCCTTATTATAAGGACCCCCAAATAATGTACCCCTAATTTTTGGAAACTCCCAAGTGAAGCCAAGAAGCAAGAACTTCTGCATCGCCAGCAGCCCGGGAAACTACCGAAAGCGCCCTGCGCCAGCGGCTCCCTTTCCTCGGAAAGCTTGCTGTTACATATTACCGGGCCAGAAGGTGTCTAGAATTGTGCTGAGCATTTGTGGCTGGGAGAGTCTATATCAAGCTTCTGGCTTTACGACCGTGAGTTTTTCAGGATTTGGTGTGCTAGACAACCAGTTTTTATGCGCAAGTGCGTACGGTTAGGACGGTTAGGAGGGAATGACAATGCTCTCCCGCTATGCCAGCTCCATGACAGTGTGGGAAACCTCCATGTCTGCACGGGCTTAATGTCAATAGGAACAACTGCACGCCTTAGCGGGCCGTGCTTGCACACGTGAAAATAAAACCGTCAAGCAAATCAACTCGATGATTTTTGTTTTTTGCAGCGTGGCATTCTGTGTATGTACACACCAACAAACAACCATACGTACACACATATTGGCATAATTATATACATACATACATACATACATACACACATACATGAACCCAGCCATGCAACCATGCATAGACACCGGCATATGCAAACAGATATGTTGAATGTATGTGCGTGCGTACATGTCTTTGAGTCCTCATGTGTACATGTGCATGTGCAACTGCATATTATGTAGACATGTACATGTTGTACACAGCATACACACACGCACACACGTACTTTCGTTTTTGAACCCGGGCTCGGATCCTGCGTCAGCTGGGAATCTGCAGCCAACATGACTGCTGTATGTCAGCAAACCACATGAACCTACATACACATGCGTATGTATGTATACATACACATGCACACGCATGCGCATGATTGCCGGTGCACAGGTGACTACGTGTGCAATGCAAATATGTTCGCATGTGTGCGTCCGCGATGGTTTGGGGCATGATTAGGCTATTCTCGTGAAGGCAATAGCCAAGAAATACTCGAAGCAAGTGGATACTGAGGCGCTCGAAGGCAGTTGCAACCTTGGCTTGACTATGCTTCCGGATCGGACGCTTGATCGTCACAACAAGGAACGGGCAATCGTCCGACTTACAGCGACACGACTTAGGATGCAGCAGTTGTGTTGCTTCTTGTTGTTGCTGGTGCCGGCGGCCATGGTGAGGGCATAGTCGTGACAGTGGTGCTGGCCAGTCGTCATCGTAACCGCAGTCGTAGTAGTGGTAGTGGTAGTGGTAGTGGTAGTAGCAGTAGAAGTAGGACTAGTGGTAGTAGCAGTAGTAGTAGTCGCAGCAGCAGCGGTAGCAGTAGCAAGTCAGCAGTAGAGGAGGTAGCAGCAGTAGCAGCATGTCAGTAGTAGAAGTGGTAGTAGCAGTAACAGTCAGTAATAGAAGAAGAGGTAGTAGCAGTAGCAGTAGCAGCAGCAGCAGTATATAGCAGTAGCAGTAGTACTAGCACCAGCAGCAGCAGCGGCAGTAACAGTGGAACTAGCGGCAGCAGCGGCAGAAGCAGGTCAAATAACAAAACCATGAGGAGTAGGAGGGAGTAGTGGTCGTAGTAGTCGTAGTGGTAGTCGTCGTCGTTCCAAAAACAGTAGTGGTAGTGGTAGTGGTACTGCTACTGGGAGCAGTAGTAGTGGTAGTGGTAGTAGGAGGCGGAGGCGGAGGAGGAGGAGGACGAGGAGCAAGCAGGAGCAGGAGCAGCTTCAACTGAACAAACTGACAATGTGGGGTTCCCCGGTCGCCTACTTACGGTTCTGGTGATGCCACGGCAACGACGGCTGCTACTGGGACTCCTCCTCCTCCTCCTCCTCCTGCTCCTGCTGCTGCTACGGCTAAAGCTGCTGCGACGACGAGCGACGACTGTTACCGCCAGCGGCATATTACATCATGTTACCAGAACCTTGAGCAAGGCACCGGATTCATACATGAGGCGTCCAAGCGCAAGGTCAACGTGGCAGCCTCGTGCCACGTGAGGATCAGACGGTGAAGTTTGGGACTGAATGGTATTGGGGGCTGGAATATAGGACGCATTAACACAAGTCTTGCACATGTTCTGCTAGGAAGCACGTCGTTACAATGAATATCTGGCTGTTATCTGACGGCTCGGGTTGTGAAGCACCTCAATCGGCAACTCTTGCCGCCGTCGCCGGGTCATCTGTAGATGTGGGCCATGACAAGTCACTCCAGGCTTCAAGTTATATAAATTATTGCGAGATTTAGGCTTCAATGCTTTGGAACCTGGCTCAGTGGAAACTGCCATGGTGCTTTTTGATTTAACTTGTATACCGTCGGTATAACCTCGTCAACGCTGGTACAGCCAAACTACAGTCCCTACATCGCAGCCGCTAAGGCCTCACTCCCCTAACCGGAAACCCTGCAACGATGCATCGTCTTCGAACCGTACCCAAACCACCAGCAAACACACTTAACACTTAACACCGATCCTCAAAGCACCACATTGGGGGTTTGCGAAAAATCGGGGGCCCTAGTATAGTACTCTAAATAGTAATTAGGATATTTATTATAAGAACCCCTTAAAAGGGTACCCCTGATTTTCGGAAACTCCCACATCGCTTCGTCCCCGGATTCCCATATCTGGAGGCCCCAACCTCTTTCTTTGGCTCAAAAATCCAGTCCGGTGAGCCGCGAATCCTGAGCACGTGATCCCCCCAACAACCTCTACAGAATGTCCTCCCAAATCTCCAGGTAACCCTATATTCGTTTTAGATTGATTACTTTCGCAACTATTAAAAGACTGCCTGTGAAACAAAGCAGAACATGTCTTCACAGCTGGCACTGCAAGTCAAGATCCTAGACCCGATAAGCCCCAAAGTTACCGCCCATAAAACCTATAGAAATATGAACTGTAAACCCTCCATGACACCAATTATTACTAGTTTATAATATCCGTAAGAAGTAAACCTCCTGGAGCCCTCGAAGAGACCCTGCGACCTTGGCCAGCACCCCAAGTGAGGCTGACCAAGCAGCGGCCTCTGGGGGGGGCTCGTGGTCTTGTGATGAAGTGCAGAGACTTCGAAAATTTAAGGAACTACCCTAAGGCCCCAAATTAAGTAGTTCCTTTTTGGGGTTCATATACAGAATCCCATAAGGTAATCCCAAAAAGGAGCTACTTTGGGGCCTATGGGTATACCACACTATGAACACAACAAACGCACAAACAAAACGTGTGGTACAAGTGGCGTGTAGTTTCGTATCGCGACATTGCATGACATTTGGTAGACCAATCGCCATGCTACAGCCATACGGGTGGTTGTCAAAATTATGGCCCCTTTTTGGATACCGTTAATATTAGGTGCCGTACTATATTAAGGACCCAAAAAGGGACTATAATTTTGACAACCACCACACTTCTCGGTTCGGGCCCTAGAGTTTGGAGTTTTGGGGCTTCTTGGGCTGCGTGTGGTGGGAATTTAGAGCGCAACTTGGGCTTTAGAACCTATAGAACTTCAGGGTGTGCTTCAGATTCGACGCGCGAGCCTTGTGGTTTCAAGCCTCACTGGACATTTCTTGGCTTGGCTTGGCAGAGTTCACGTTCAGGGCATGCGGTGTTCCTTTGACTTCGTGGGATCGCAGGGCCGCAGGTGCGTGGCTTGTTATAAGTAACTTGGATGCTTCGGGAAAGCTGCTACCGCATGCACGCCGTCACAACCCTCGATCCGAAACTCCCGGTTCCCACATAAACCCTGCAGACATTTCTAGGGTTCGAGTCCGGGAGCCTTAGTGTTCTGCTGACGACGGCGTATGGGGCCTGTCATGATGCCTCTTCCTCCACCCTATCCGGGAGGCGCGAACCCTAAATCCTACGGTCCTACACTAAACACCAAGATTCCTGTAACAAAACCTAAAAAACAGGCCCCGCGACCGCAAGAGTCTTAGGTTAGAGCCCCTTCTCAAAACTCCAAAAAAGGGAACCCTATTACTAGCTTAACCATCTTAGAACCCGTGTCGAAACCCCTAAAGAAGGGAACCCTATGACTACCTTAACCCTGCTAGTCTCAAGCCGGAGTGGCCCGACTTGCGCCGCCGGCCGCGGCGTTGCAGCAAAAAGCGTCCGGCTCGACACCTGCCGAATAACTTTTCCATAACAAGGCTTCTGTAATCAGAGTTCTTATGATGGTTGGGGCCCTGTCTTGCACAGAGTGAAGTGTCGCTTATACGAATTGAACAACCCTTGCTTCGGATCCTTGTCTTCATTTGTCGAACAGCCTTTTCTTCAGGGCTCCTTATCGAGGATGCGATGGTTTACCGACTA